CCCCCCCCCCCCAGGCTTTGTTAACGAGGAGACGCTCGTAAACATTTACCTCCGGGTGACTCGAGGCCGACGCAAGGGACGAGAGAGAAAGTTATTCTCTCTTTGATTACAGAGTTTATTTACTCTCAGGAGAGAGCAGGAAGCCGACGTGTTTGTAGTTTCATTCATTTAAAAAACTGTAGTTTCTAGAAGGAAACATTTTGCACGACGTCATGTTGAAGGATGCATGGTGTTCTTTAAACAATCCCCCAAAAACGTCAGTCCTTCACAGCCATTATCGGCAGGTTTACATCTTTCCGACGGTCCTTGAACTCATCATGTGTGACGAACGCTTCCATCAGAAAAAAACAACCGAAGCTTTAAATGTTGATATTTACAATTAAACCGTTTCCTTCCACTATATTCTGTTAAAAACAAGACATTCTGAGCTCCTCAGTGACACTAAGCAGCCATGTTGGATTCCTCGTGTGTCATGTGACGTCTGTGTTTCGTGTTTCAGTCGCCCAGAAGATCGTGGCCACCAGGAAGAAGCAGCAGCTCTCCATCGGGCCGTGCAAGTCGCTGCCCAACTCCCCGAGCCACTCGTCCGTCTGCGCCACGCAGGTGTCGGCCGTTCACGTCAGCCAGGTCAGAGGTCGTTATTTAAACTGTTAGAGGTCAGAGGTCACATTATTTAAACTGTGAGAGGTCACAAGATTTCTTCTTCTTCTGTCAGACGAGTAACGGCGGCGGCAGCCTGAGTGACTACTCGTCGTCGGTGCCATCGACGCCGAGCACCAGCCAGAAGGAGCTCCGGATCGACGTGCCGCAGACCACCAACACGCCGACACCCGTCAGGAAGCAGTCGAAGCGCCGCTCCAACCTCTTCACCGTGAGTCTGAGACACACTGTGATTTATTACATCTTTATTGAAGATCTGATTATTGAAGATACAACGACAAAGACACACAAACTCACCACAAACACGATTACAAAGAGACACAACATGGCGACAAAGAGACACTGAACAACTACAAAGAGACACTAAACAACTACAAAGAGACACAACACGACTACAAAGAGGCGTGAATCGACTAGAAACTGTGCAGTTTTTGTGTCTCTGTCACTCTGGGGGTCTTGTGATCTTATGATCTGTGGGGGGGGGGGGCTGTCTCATAATCCCTCCAGAGCTTCCACTCATTGGACCTCTCTACTTATTCTATCGCCTGCTTGTGAAGACCTTTGTAAAGATCTTCCCCTTCATGTTGTCGCTCTGCAGTGAAACCCGGTTTAGTGGATAATGACGGGTTTTTATTTGGCCCCACAGTCCAGGAAGGCCAGCGAGCCGGACAAGGACAAGAAAGGCCTGGAGGCTCGAGCCGACAGCATCGGCAGCGGGCGAGCCATCCCCATCAAACAGGTGAGGCTTCCTGTCTGAGCGGCGTCCTGGGCCCTGATTATAACAGTGGAATCACACACTTAACATCAATTAGAGCCGAGGGGGCTCTCCTGGGTCCTCCAAACCAGACCGCCTCATCCTCCTCTCCCTCTGCTCCTCCACTTCATCTCCTCCACTTCATCTCCCGCTTCGTGCCTTTCAAAGCCGCTCTTTGATGGGAGAAGAAGAGGAAACACAGAATCACACATTCCTGCTGCGACGGAGAGCCGAGCACCTGAATCTGAGCTCTTAATTTGAAGAAAACGAGTGTGGGGGGGGGGGGGGGTAGTCGTTGTTTCTCCCGAAAAGCAAATCAGACAATTAACGAGCGCTAATCGCAGCCTCTTGTGTCGTCGCCGCGGCCTCGTTTGTAATCTGCTAATGAACAAATCGCTTCTCTGATTAGAGAGAGAGAGAGACACTGAGGGGGGGGGAGGGGGGAGAGAGACACACTGGGGGGGGGCTGTTTGTGTTTGGGGTCTTTAAGAAAATCTCCCGTCGTTCAGTCACAGATCAGTGGAATCTAACCGCTGTCCTGAGAATCAGAACATGGTTTCATTCTTCATTTCTTTGATCATTTATTTCACGTCAGTCAGAGCTTCACAGATGTTTTCGTCATGTGACCGTTGTTCTCAGCCGAGTCGGTCGCGTCTCCAAAGAAGCGTTGAGAAGCTCAGAATTAAATGTGTTTGACACATTCTAGCTCAAGCAAACAGTTTTATTTTAGTCTCGATATTAAACGAGACGTGTAGGAGATAATATCGTTCCACGTGACTCGTTAGTGTCGTTAGCAGTGAACTCGTTAAGGGAGGGAAAGGTGGAGCAGCACCGTCTGTATGAAGGACACAACGCGGAGGCTTCAGTGTGGAGCAATGTGTGACAGAGTACATGTCAACGTAATAGTAGTTTTAGTTCTATAATAACTATTGTTTTAACATACTACCTTTAAAATACTGCAATGTTCCGTATAATAAGCCGTGAACTCCAGAGTGTGACTCACGGAGTCGCACCAAGTTAGAAGTCGCTCTAATTATCGCAGAAGTCAGCGACTATTTTATGGCTTTTAAAGTTTAAAATAATATTCTGTTGATTTTAGTTCCTGAAGGCGTCTCTCGCTGCTCCCTACTTCTTCTTCTGTTGATTCTGATCTTGCACCTGAGTGTGTGTTAGACCTCTACGTGTGTGTGTGTGTGTGCGTGTGTGTGTTTAAGCCACTTGTCCGCCTCCTGATCTCATTAGAGCGACTCTCCACCACTGGAGGTGACGGCGGTTCACTTCTCCTTTTGTTAACGGGGAACGCCTCCGTGAAGAGAGTCCAGCGCTCATTAAAACCACACACACACACACACACACACACACACACACTGAGACCAGGACTCTGTTGGTTATAATGGGAAGAGGGCGGGTTTCCACTCAGGCAATTATCCACACAAACTGCACGTATCATGTCCAGAGAAGCTCTTCTACACACACACACACACACACACACAAAATAACGGTGTGTGTGTGTGAGTGGGTGTGTGTGTGTGTGGGTCGAGGTCACGTCGTCTTCGTCATCATCACCTTCATCACTGCAGCTCACAGCCAGAGTTCAGGAGGAAACGATGTCCAACAGAGTCGCTTACAGACGGATTCTCAGAGTTTATTTCTCTGTTTCTTTACATGTGTCCGGGTTAGCTTCTATAAATATGATATCATGTGTTGATTGTTGGTGACGAAGCCGGGTGATGAATAATTAAAAAGTGATTAATATCTGGAGGCAGAATTCAATCACACGTCCTGACAGAAATGTCTTGAAACATTCATTTAAATGTGTTTTTGTTGTTTAAATATCTCAGAAAACACACCGTGTGAAACGTAGAATATAATTTATTTATACCTCTCAATTCTGACGAGTTCAATTTATATTTATCCGACAAAATGAATGATAGGAAAGTGTTTAAACGGTGCGTTCAAAGTCGTGTCGTTGTAATGAATGTGGACCTCCACGAGGATCTGAAAGAGTAAAACCAGCTCATGTGGAGACGAGGACGAGGCGTCCAGCGGAGACACATGAAACCACAGAGGGAGAAGCGCTGGCTTGTTTCTAGCAGCCGATTGGTCGGTTCTCTCTCCTCCGGTCCAGCTTTTTTGTTGTTTACAGAGGCTTGTTGACGTTGCGGGGCTCCTCCGACATCTGTTCCACGACGCTAATTAGCTGCTAATTACCGTCAAAAAAACAAACTAACAGATTAATTTGAGCAGCAGCAGCCGAGCCGCTCGGGACCGCAGACGTCCCTCTAAACCACGTCTGTGCTCAGAGACGGTGGACCAGGGGCCGGCTGGTGGTTTGTCTGCCCCACCTGGGACCAGTACGAACAGCAGCTTTTGTTGCTGGTGGAGCAAATTTATGGAGGCTCAGCTCCTCGATGAAGGCCGAAAGGAGGAAGTGATGGTTCACAGATCTGTGATGTTAACGTTAAAACTTTATTCACACTCCGAGGGTTAACGATAAAACGTTATTTACCTGTGGTGGTTAACGTTAACCCTCGCAGTGTGAATAAAGTTTAACGTTAACCACCGCAGG